CCCCCCCCCCCCGTGTGTGTGTGTGTGTGTGTGTGTGTGGTGTGGTCGTGATCATAGAACAACTTGCAGGAGTCAGCTGTTTCCTACCACATGAGTCTCAGGAACAGAATCTGGAACCCGGGCTTGGCAGCAAACATCCATATCCTTACCAGTCAATTTTATTTCTTTTATAATCTTTGAGACAGGGTTTCTCTGTGTGGCCCTGGCTGTCCTGGAACTCTCTGTGTAGACCAGGCTGGCCTCGAACTCAGAGAGCAGTACGGTCATTACAAATATATGTATTTATGTTTATTTTAAGTGTATGAGTGTTTTGCCTGCATGTATGTATGCGTGCCTTTCTGGTTCATGCTAAGTTCAGAAGAAGGAATCTGATCCCCTGGAACTGGGCCATTCTGTGGTCCTGGGACTGGAACTTGCTTCCCTTGTAAGAACAGCCAGTGTTCTTAGCTGCAGAGCTGTCTCTCCAGCACTGATTTTTATTTATTTAATGTGTCTCTGTCTATGTGTATCTCTTGATGTGTACACACATAACTCTGAGGGCAACTTAGTGGAGTTAGCTCTCCCTCTGCCTTGTGGATCCCAGGGATTAAATTCAGGTTGTCCAGCTTGGCAGCAAGCGACTTTAATGCTGAGCCATCTTGCAAGGCCCTTCTAGATTTTGTTTGAGCCAGTGTCTCAGTCTGTAGCTTAGCTAGGTTAGCATTGAGTTCATGGCAATCCACCTGTCTTAGCTCCCAAGTCTGGGGTCATAGATTTCCCAAGAGTGTCCTACACTGCATTCCTCATTTAGTCTTGAACTCTGGCAACTGGTAACAAACTCCTGCACGGAGTTTGTGCACAAGGAAGATCTTCAAGACGGTTGAGGCTAATCCTGCTGATGTTTCATCTTGCTGCCTGCTGCCTAGAAGAGGATGAGAGGAACTCTATCCTCAGAGACTAAACCCTCTCTGGTCTCTGCCTCCGCAGGGTGCAGTGACTGCCATGACCAAAGCTTTGGCCTTAGATGAGAGCCCATACGGTGTCCGAGTCAACTGGTGAGTTGATCAAAGTGGACAGAGGCTCAGGGAAGCTGGGGATGGCTGCACATAGTTAGCATACATGGCTCTCACTCCTTCCCTCCCCCACCTAGCATCTCCCCAGGAAACATCTGGACTCCACTGTGGAGAGAGCTGGCAGCCTCAACTTCAGACCCCAGGACCACCATTCTAGAAGGCACCTTGGCCCAGGTAGGAGGTACTGAGGGCTGGGAGCAATGGAGGCAGCTGGGAGGGTTGGGGTCACTCTCATCCCTTCCCTCTTCCTTTTCCTTTCTCTCTGTGTATCTCTGTCTCTTCTGTCTCTGTCTCTTCCTCAGCTTCATATAATCTAGGCTGGCTTGGACCTGCTATCTATGTAGCTGGGGAGACTACATAGATATCCTCAGACTTCCGATTTTTCTGTTTCCATTTCTTGAGTGCTAGAGTTACAGGCATATACCACCAATTCCCCCCGCCCGTGTATGTGTGTGTGTGTGTGTGTGTGTGTGCGTGCGTGCCTGCCCTTGAGTGACTGTGTCTCACTGTCTAGCCTAGGCTGGCTTTGAACTCAGGGCAGAGCTCTTGATTATGTTTCTCGTTTGCTGAGATGACAGGTGTGAACTAACATGCGTGAGGAACTGCTCTTAATTTTCTTCCTTTCCTTCCCCAGCCCCTGGGCCGCATGGGCCAGCCAGGCGAGGTGGCGGCTGCAGCCGTTTTCCTGGCCTCTGAAGCCACCTTCTGTACAGGGCTTGAGCTTCTTGTGACCGGGGGTGCAGAACTGGGGTATGGACGCAAGGCTAGCAGAAGCAGCTTCGTGGAAGTCCCCATTCTCCCACCCTAATTTACACTAACTTATGTCCTACCCATCTGTCTCTGCCTTCCTTCCTTCCTTTTTTGGAGTACTGGAGATTAAACCTAGGACCTCTTGTGTGTTAGGCTGAGGCTCTACCACTGAGTCACATCCCAGTGCCTCAATGGAGGATTCTAGGCAGGGGCTCTACCACTTAACTCTCAGGTCCCAAAGAAACTCAGGATAAGCCAGCTGCTGCTAGCCAGCCAGGCCCTCTCAGTACCTGCAGCTTCTCTCAGCTTTCCTTGCCCCTGCTCCTCACCCCTCTAGCCCAGGGACTTAGAGCTCCTTTCCCCGACTTCTGACTCGTATAATCACCTGCCGTTTCGGACATGTGCAGCCATTTTGGACATGTGCAGCTGTTTTGGGCATGTGCAGCCGTTTTGGACATGTGCAGCTGTTTTGGGCATGTGCAACCGTCTTAGTCCTTGGCTCCTCTCTTGGTCCACTTGTCCTCTTCTTTCTCTCTCTTCTTTTATTTTCTCCCCCCTCCATCCCTCATGGACCAGTTTAGTCTGGACTCTTCCAGATGCCTTTGGCTCTACTCTCCCTTATAGCTGCAATAAAAACTGTCTCTCCAGGAGTACCTTGGAGTGGTCATGTCCTTATTCATTCATGAAGCACAACTCTAGCCTCTCACTGGGGCCTTCCAGGCAGGGCTGTGCCACTGAGTCACACCTTGGGCACCTCCCTGGGGGATTCTAAACAGGTGCTCTCCTACTGAGCCATGCTCACCTCTTACAAGGGGCTCCTCATCCAGCATTTCCACCCCAAATTCCCACCTGTCCCATCTTTCTCCCAGCTTCAATCCCAACACCCTAGACTCTATACTCCCTCACCATTCAGCCTTCACTCGAGACAACAACTTGCAGCTGGGCAGTGATACGTACCTTTAATCCCAGCACTTGGAAGGCAGAGGCAGGTGGATTTCTGAGTTTGAGGCCAGCCAGGGCTACACAAATAAAAACACTGTCTTTTTTTTTTTTCTTTCCCCAAGACAGGGTTTCTCTATACAGCCCTGGCTGTCCTGAACTCACTCTGTAGACCAGGCTGGTCTCGAACTCAGAAATCCACCGGCCTCTGCCTCCCAAATGCTGGGATTAAAGGTTTGCACCACCACTGTCTGGCTGAGAAACACTGTCTTGAAAAAAAAAGATAAATAAATATAATAACAAAAATATAAACAACTGGCATCCAGAAAGGAGACATTTATTTCCTGTTCTTCACACAAGTCTGTCTACACTAGCATTGCTTCCTCTCCAGCTACATTTAGTTCATGTGCATTCTTGACTCCAAAGAACTCTATCTCCCAAAGGCTTCGCAGCAGGCTCGACAGGCACCAACTCCTGTCGCCAGGGAGCACAGTTCCGCTTCACCTTTGTGCTAATTAAAAGGCTCACTGGGAAGAATTAAATAAAGTGGTAACTGGCAGATAATGAAGGAGGCACAAAAGCGCCTGCCTTTATTCTTGGCCCTTAGGGGAGAGGAGTTTTGCTCTCTTTGCCAGAGCAATAAGTGACAGTGGCTGGCAGAAGAATCATGAGCTCTATAAGGTGGCATAGAGTTGAGACATGTGGGTCAGAGGGAGGAGGCTGGCATTTGTATTGCTTAGATTGGAGCTGAAGGACACCGCGGGGGCGTGCTGGGGGAGGAACAGGCTCTGGACACGCCCCAGATTGGGCGCCAGGCTCAGCAGCTTCCCCACATCCCAGGTAAGGGGGTGGAACTGCAAGGTCGTTGTGGATTGGCCAAGGCGGAGGTGTGGGGCAATCGCTGATTGGCCGCAACGGGGGGCGTTTGCTAACTGTGTGGTCCGCCCTGCTGTTTGGAGGAGTAAGGGAGGAGGGCAGGTTTAGAAATGGAGTGGGAGGTGGGGGCGGGGTGGACGATGTCTACGGGGGAGAGTGTGTGGTGTGTGTTGGTTACTGTGGTCTCCGCAGTTTCTAGAACAGTGGTCTGGTGTTGGGACTTGGAAGCAGTTGTGACTGTAGAGTATGAGAACATTCTGCAGAATTACATCAACACAGAGGCTTCTCTCTCTCTCTCTCTCTCTCTCTCTCTCTCTCTCTCTCTCTCTCT